TTTCAGGTAAGACAGACTTGGGCATCTGAATAACAAGCCTCCCCCAAGGACTACGACACACAGAAAGGGTGACGTAGCGATTTGCCAAAAGATAAATATTGTTGAAAGATGTGCCACCTCAGCGGGGCTTAGGCTTGGTGTTCCCTGCTAGGTAAGGCTACCACTGGGCCAGAAAGCTACCGTTAAAGCTCCCATTAGTTTGGTCTGTGATATAACCAAACTAATGGGAACTTTAATGCGAACTTTGATGCCTGTTTTATCATTGGGTCAGAAAACTAGAACCGCAGTGGAATCATTGACCGTGGTCAGAAGTATTTTACAAAGTCAGTGCTGGGAAACACTCTGAACTGACTGTGTGTAAAACAAGACATGGAAATGGCGATCTAGTAAGATCTGAGCTTGCTTTACCCAGCAAGGCCGCATTAGGCGATGGCTTGATCGTGTGTGCAAGGTCACCAGGTGTCTGGGATGGTCTGCACTTGGCTGTGCTGGGGGGAGGTCTATTGCTCCACCCCTTGGCATTCCTTTAAAAGCCCTTTAGTAGAGACAGAAGGGGCCGGTGGGTTTGGACCCAGGTCCTCCCGAGGCTATCTTGTGATTTCTGTCTGTCTGTCTCCTCTATATTTCTATCTACATAGTCCTCATTTCTCCCTGCTCAAAAGTAGAGGGAGCTGGTCTCCCTCACCTGACCTACAGATGGCCTCGGGAGTAAAGGGGCGCTACAACCGCACCTGAATTGATAGGTCTTATTTGATCTTCCAAAACCGCAGGTAGGACCTTGAGGTTCAAGGCGATGGAGGTAGGGAACAAAGGGTAGGAGAGTGCAAGCTCTGCCCGACAAATCAGGACCATGAATGCTCATCTCCAGAGTCAAAAGCAAAGCTAAATGAATGGCAGGCAGAAGGAAGAAAATGACTATCCACTCACCAATTTAACGAGTAGTCCAGAGGACAAGTTCATTGCACCTTCCTGCATAGGCAGTGTCTCCTGATGGCTCCTTAACTCCCACTAGGGGGTTCCTCCCCAAATAGGCGCTATGTATTCACCAATCATTTTAGTCGTGCATATTCATTTGCACGCAGGCTTGTTTGAGAAGTCTTTAAAGGCAATCGCCTAAGCAAGCAGGGGAAGGTAATACAACACAGGTCGCTCAAGCGCTCAGCATGCTTCTGACTGGTGCTCTCATTACTACTGTGCACAAATGATCAAAGCCATATCAGTAATTATGCTCATCTACTTAGCACAAGAGCAAGAGTGAAGGAAGACCAAAAGCATAGCACAGCCCCAGGGTTGGGCGTCGGAATGAGTCCCTCTGGCCCAGTCCCAAACAAGCTTTTAGAGATGCTGCCCTCAAAAATCAGTCATCAATCAGTCAATCGATAAAAGCGAAACAACAACAAAAAGAGAACAGCACAGGGCCTGGCCGATGAATCAATTTCCACGTGAAAGAACCGACTCACAACAAGGAATCCGAGTTGATGAGTCTCTGTCATATCTCATCGTACCGCGTCCCTAATAACAACACAGTGTAGTTATGCACACTGCTGTCGATTCCACAGCTCCTCTTTGCTCTAATTATGGCTTCCTCCTGTGTTCTTTAAGAGGCTCTGAGAGGCTCCCACTGCTATGACTCACAGGCCTCCCGAAGCCTCCTTACACAAGTATGAACGACTGATAAATCCATGCTATGGAACAGGGTAGCCGTGTTTGTCTACAGTCTTTCCTTCTAGAACTGAAAGTCTCTGACAGGAGCTAGCTGATAGGCCTGTTCACATCGCTCAGTGCCTGACGAGACAACGTTGGACGGACTTTGCTGTGCACCTAAAATACATTAATGTACATTCTGCTGTCTACAAAGATGATGTTGCAGTTCTCCGTCACCAGGATAAATACTTTAAATTATATTCTAGATAATGATGGTTCTAGGTAAGGACTCCTGTAGACATAGCCAATCCATAATTCTTCCTCTGGAGCCCGTCCCACAAATTCTGTTAACATCTCCTAGGGTATACAAGATGGTCAGCTGCCTATGAAATGAAGGTAAACAGCACTGGACAAAAGAGGACCAAAGGCATGTCCCTAGCACCAACAGAGTGGTGTTGTCTCCAACTCACGTGCCCCCCCAACATGTGACAAAAATACCAGTTATCTTTTATTATTTTTATTACAATTTATTTATGTGGTGGTTGTTGTTGTTATTGTTGTTGGTGGTGTTTGTATGTGTGTGTGTGTGCGTATGTGTATGAGTGTGTGTACGTGTATGTGCCACAATACATGGATGAAGGTAAGGGGACATCTTTGTAAGGCTGGCCCTCTCCTTCCACATGTGGATCCTTAAGATCCAACTCAGGCCCTTATCTGAGTCCTTCTCTGCTGAGGCACCTCAGGGGGCCACCAGCTGCCTGTGGACAGAGCAGACTAGACCTCTACTCTACCACCATTGTTATCCGCTATCCCCGCCCTGGAGGCTGAGCCCCCACCACAGGCCCAGACCCCCAGAAGCCTCATTTTCACATTGAGTAATACTTCAGTTTGGGAAAAAACCTGCCGAAGAGTGGTCAAGATGATTTTTTTTTTTTTTGCTTATATCATCAAGGAAAATTTAAGATTCAGTTTTCATGTATTTTAAATTTGAGATTTTTTTCCAATATAATTTTAATCACAAAGGTGATAGTTGCTGCATATTGGAATTATTTAAAATTCCATTTAAGACATATCATCTTTTAAAATGTATCTAGTGAACCCTAATTAAGAACCACAGCAACCTGAAAACTACTTTAATCCACCAAAATCACGAGAACAAACTCAGCTTTAACAATAAGAAACACTGCATTGCTCTCTTTCTCTCCTTGAACTCTCATTTCCATCTACTTCCCCCACAGAATTTTTTCTAAATATAATATGACTTAATGCTTGAAAGGCTTTTATGAATCTCCATATTATGCTTTTTGTAACAAAGTATACATAAAATGATGTTTTTAAAAACGTCCTGGGACTGCAGAGCTTAAAAGTGTTCGATTTCCTTTCACTTTGAGCTATCATTACTAATGCACACAATTGATCCAAAGAACATTAACAATTATTTATAAGAATGCTAATATGTTAACAGGGAAAGAGCAATTTCATTGGAAATACATTTCTAAAGAAATGGATAGGATTTGTTGATTCCTTCAATGAGCCCATTTATCTATGGATGGATATTTACCCACTGTTTATGATAAAGCCTGGCTTAGCATCAATTCTATGTCTGCGTTATTTAGTAGATGAAACAATAAGAAACCTTGCCTGTTTATGTCTACATGAAATGAAGAAGACTTAGCAAAAGATATTTTCATTTATCATCTTATAGCTGGATTAGGTCTCCTTCAAGTTTGCTGAAAACCAAGAAGTCAAATTACCCAAGTTGTGCAAAGAAATGTTCCCTGTTCTTATCATCATTTCCTGTACTGAAGGACTGGTGTTCTCACAGTTCTTTGTGTTGGGATGATGGCTTCCCATCCTACGACAACCCACCAGAGCAGACCCAGGATGGCAACAGCTTTGCCCTTTTCCTTTGTCAAGCGGGAGAGTGTCTGTGAAAGGTGAGATGGAAAAGCTGGTGTGGCAAAGTCCGTGTTGAGCAAATCAGTTTCAAGAAAGGGTCCACATGGGGGTTGAGAAGCAGGAGAAGACCTCTCTGAACTAGCATGTCTTTGTAGTGCTTACAAGGCCTTCTGGGATAGCTCTCTGCTAGCCACGTGTGTTGCTGTCATTCTGTCCATTTGTAAGTTCGATACAACTTCGATTAACATGGGAGTCCCCACAACCTGTCAGTCTGGAGCAGATATGATAGCAGAAGTAATACATTGCTTTAAAGACAGAAGCATAATTCTTGTTCCATCTACTTAATGGAAATTCCTAGTAAATCACTGTGATATGACAATGTAGAAAACACACTCTGCAAATGATTGTAAGTTCAGTATTTCTCATAATATCACAGGGAAACCCAGAAATAGTCAAGTGTTTTCATAATAAAAAAACCGCTAAATAAATTAAGTTACAGCTGTGTGATTAAAAATGCAGTATTTTAATTTGAAGGAAACATTGGTTTAGGAAACATTTCATATAGTAGGAAGTAAAAAACAAGCAGAAAACTAAGTTGTGAGAAAAGTGTCATATTCGTTTGTATGTTCTATATGTATGTGCAAAAGATTTAAGAAAATCTATTAAACTGGCTTTAGTCATTATCCCTATGTGTATGATTGTGAACAATACTCTTTTTTTATTCTTTCTTTCTTTCCCTATTGTTTATACAGGACATGCATTTCTCTCACAATGAGGAAGAAGGAAAAAATGTACATGGGAAGGCCAGGAAGGCATAGAAATAGGTTCATGTCTTAGAGCTTCTGCAGGTGACTTCAGATTCCCACCAGCAAGATGGCGTCCTGCCTGGGCTGGGAGGCACTTAGGCTCACTCCAGCCAGGACTGACTGCATTTCCCAGAGAATGAATTGCTCTCTGTACTTCCCTGGAAGGCTTTGTTCTCTGTCCACTCTCAGCGTTAGCTCTGCCCATTTCTGCCCTTGCCCACGTTCATCCTTCTGCTCACTGATTTCCCTGGAATCACTAATTTCATTCACCGCCTCACTCCACACCCAGATGGAAATGGATCAGGTCCCATGAAATATCCCACTTTGTGTGCACCAAACAAACCAACAATGCAAGATGAAAATTATTCAGCACATGAAATACTGTAAATCAGTGGTTCTCAACCTTGTTATTGCTATGATGACCTTTTAATACAGTTCCTCATGTTTGGTAATCCCCAACCATAAAATTATTTTTGGTGGTACTTAGAAACTGTAATTTTGCTACTTTTTTGAATTATAAAGTAAATATCTGTGTTTTCCCATGGTCTAGGTGACCTCTGTGAAAGAGTTGTTTGACCCATGGGGTCATGACCCATAGGTTGAGAACTGTTGCCATAAACCAAGGCGATCTTTACAGTTGTTATCTCTTACCTCAGCAAGTGGGGAGGGATCTTCACAATGGTGTCCAGGCCACTCAGGGTTTCTATAAAAGAAGATTGTGGAGGTACAAGTAAATATTCAAAGACTGTGATTAATACCTAAATTCTCAAATCTCTATGCTCTCTAAACTCACTGATGGCTTGTGTTCCCCTTGGAAAATAGAAACTAGCCACTTCTCAGTCATCTTTATTTTTAAAATCAATAAATGAATTCATACCAGTAAAGACTTTCAAGTTCATAAGGCACCTTATGGGACATGTGGTAATTTATTTAGTAGCTTTCCTATTATTGAAATACATGACCCTTTCTGGGTCTTCCTTTAATATTATGAGAAATACAGGACTTGCATTTGTTTGTAGAGTGTGCTTTCTATGTTATCAGGACATAGTGACTTATTGGGAGTTTATGTTCGAGTAGACTGAACAAGAATCATGTTTTTGTCTTTAAAACAAATCCATTTCTTCTTCTACCATACCCGCTCCAGACTTACATATTGTTTGGACTCCTGTGTTAATTGCACACATTTGTGACATGGTGGATTACACCACCTGTTTAACCACATGACAGGGAAGGGTTGTGACGAGGAGGCTCACCCTCAGATCTCATTAATCAAGCCTAACGCTTGGCACATGGCCACTGTTTGTGGATAAATCATACTACCGCCGACTCTAACCGTACTGACAATAAAGAGCTAATTATCATGCCCCTGCTCCAAACCGTTTTACTTCAGTCGCTCCAACTTGTCTCCAGGCACTCGGCTCCACCACTTAGAATTCCACTAGTTTCATCAACTTGAACTACTCCCCTTGGGAGAGGACAGACAGCCCCTCCACCCCGCTAAGAGATCAGAGAAACCAGAGATGTCCCTGAGACTCGGGACTAACAGGACACAGCAGGACAGAATCAGGCCTGTTGGAGACAATGGAGCAAAAATAGTGGATTTGAGAAAGATGACTCATCAGCAAAACCAGAAAGTAGAGCTGAGCAGGGTCAGCAGTGCCCAGCGATGAGGCCTCGCTGGGAGCGGGGAGAACGGAGGTCAGAGCCCAGGATGGGACAGGCTGACAAGAAAATGAAGCCATGAGATGCAGGTCCTAGAGGCAGCCCAAAGGGCCACCCAGGTTAGCAGAGGCCAGCCATTAGTGTGACAGGGAGCAGTGCTGAGGGAGAGTCAATGCTGCTGGTGAAGGAGAAAAAAAACCTGACATTAGATAAACAAGTGTCGTGTGCTCTCCAGAGTCAGGGGTGTATCTCCAGCTCAGGGCTGAATACTGCCCGATCCACAGAGGCTGAGTGAGTGGAAAGAAAGAGAGAACAGGGAAATCGCTCCGTGGGAGAGTGCTTGCCCAGCATGGAAGACTCTGGGTTCGATCCCCAGCACCACCTCTTAAGAACAAAAGGCAGAAGGAGGGAAAAAGCAGCCACACCGCTGCCATGAGCGGAGACCCCCCCCTCCATGGAAGTGGGACAAGGGTGGAATTTAAGTCAGTTGTCCAGGGGACAAAGAAGCCAAGGCCTGAAATATGCGGAATTGTCTTTTCCCGGGACTGCTCTGTAGTACTGGACAGAGTAGCATGGCACGGAGGAATACCACAGAAGCACTAAGAGAGCAGAGAGAACGGCTTCTCTCTCTGGCTCCACACTAGTTTGTGGGATGGAAGACGTCACCCGGGTCCACGCTGCTGTCCCCTCATCTCCAGATTTTTTTTTTTATATTTTTATTTTTTTATTTTTTGTCTTTTTCTTTTTGGTGCTGGAATTGAGTGAGTCCAGGGCCTTTATCCAAGTGAGGCCAAGTGTTCTGCCACTGACACACACCCAGTTTCCCCATCTGTAAAGGGAGGTGACTAACATCTGCCCCATAGCATTCTTAGGATGAGCTAATGAGATCAGTCATTAAAAGCCTGGCCTTAGACATCAGTGACAGCTCCCGTCTGCTTGATAGACTCACCGAATGTCAGGGCATGTGATGGTTTGGAGATCCAGTGGTTTGGAGACCCAGTGGTGAGAATGGAAATGGTTGGAGAATTTGGAGATCATGTACTCCAGTTTCAAACTGTGGCAAAGGCCAGGAAGGAAGATGTAGGGTACGGGTCAAAGGGTACAACAGGAGACCCTCCCATGGATGGACATCAGGCCCTCTGTGGGAAGTGCTAAGACTGAATGTGACTGCAAGTTAGGTAAGAAGATGTTCCAAGAAGAGCGTATAACGAGCTCAAAAGACATCAAGACTTAGTTCCCTGTGGTGGTGCACACCTGTAGTCCCAGCTGCCGCCTCCGTAGGCAGCAGGGTCCCTTAGGCCCAAGAGTTAGAGACCAGCCTGGGCAGCCTAGTGAGATCCTAGCTTAAAAACATACCAGCAAAGAGACTTCATGAAGGCTTAAAAAGCTTAAATTAAGGCCAGTGAGATAACTCAACAGCAGGAAAAAAACAACACCTGCTACTAACCCTGGTGTCCTGAATTTGATTCCTGGGAGCCTACACAAAACAAATGAATAAAAATGTAATAAGAATTAAAAAAAAAAAAAAAAAAAGAAAACACCTATTGGATGCCAGCCACTGCCACTCTTCATGAGGTCACTGGTGTGACCTTCAAGGTGTTACCTTTTCTCACCTGGTGACTACAGCAGCCTTCTCCTTGTCCCTGCCTCTGGCTCAGCCCCTATCCTGAAGCATTAATCTTTATCAATAAAAAATCGGCATTAATCTTTATCAATAAAAAATCGGGAGTCAGATATCAGGGTAAAAACCTGAAAGATCAGAGTAGCAGGGAGCAGTTACCAGTCACTTCCTACCTCTATCATTCCTCCATCCAGAAGGCTGAGATCCTCTCTCAGCCCCACCTTACTACTTCCTGTCTCCTCTCTGTCTCCAATCCTCCAAACCACTGTGGTTAATTTTGGTCAGCTAGTCACTGGCTCTACCCTCTGTCAGAACACATTCAAAATATGACACATTTCCCCCATTTTGGTCTAAATATAAAGGGAAGGTTTTAACTAACATAGTATAACTATATACAATAAGTACAATAACTATATACAAATATATACAGATAAGAATTACATTAACAACGTCTAGTCTATTTGCATTTCTGACTTGTGTATAGTCTATACTTGTATTAATACAGATATGCATGTTATCTTTAAAAGTTTGTGTATTTTTTAGAGCAAGGAAACCAGACACCAATAAAAACCGGATGGCCCAGGTGATCCAATATCCGGAACAGCTTCAAAGTTGCTGACTGAGATGATGCAGCCTCATAGAATACTCCATTCAGGACTTGACCATAATCCTGAATTTTCTCAGGGTCCCCCAAAGATTACCAATGCCCCTAATCAACAGGAAGCAGTCTAGAGAACTATGCTCACATTCCCCAAAAAAGGATTATAGATGTTTGTTTTTGTTTAGGGGGATTGGTTGCAAATTATGATTGGTCATGGTAAAAAAAACAACAACAAAAAAAACCAAGGGAGTTAGATTCAAAGATCTCTTTCTAAAAGAAAAAAAGGGGATAGGATATAGAAATGACAGAATAAAAGGTAGATTATTGAATCTACTTTAATCCAAAAAACAACTATTAAACTTAAATATTTTACATTGGAATGGATTTTAGTTTATTGATACAAATTTAAAGTTAATTTTGTTATACTGTATGTAATAGTTCTACTTTTGTTTAGGTTATTGTGTTTATACAGCTCATTTAAAATGTAACATATAATTAAAAATACAGGTTAACAGTCAAACTTATAGTCAGACTAGGTATGTTTTCAAGGTCATACACAGATATATTTAGATAGATAGATGGTCTTCAAACACTTCAAAGACCCACAGAATACGACATTTAATATGTTTAATAATCTAAGGATTTTTATGACAGTGAGACATGTCTGCTCCTGACAGCAGCAATCTACTTCAGAGAAGATGATGGGCATGGAAGAAACTCCATATGGAGTTTGTTTCCTTTATGTCAAAAGCTAACCATGCAGGCAAAGAAACTGCCCTTGCCTCAATTGCTGACCGTTATTGTCCAAACTGGACCAACAGGACACACAAAAAAACTCCTACCAAACTTTGCCATGACAAGGCAGGACAGTCCTTCAAAATTTCCTGCTTCTGAGAAAAGTCTGTCAGCTATCCTAGACCTATGGGCCAAAGATGGATGCCCCAATGTTATAGAAGAGCTTTGGGTGACTGTCTAGGCAGCCTAATGTCCCTGTTGTTAGGTAACATTTCATTCACCCTTTTGGGGTCTTTGACAGAGTTGAAGACTAGATAGTCATAGTTTTTCTTAGTTTTGATAAAAGATAAATTGGATGTGAAATTTTAGACTCACCAAGATAGGATATATAATTGAGTATTTTCTCTAATTTTGTCAAATACAAATGGACTGGATACTGTTACTGTAATTCTTAATAACTGTTTTGTTGTATATAATCTTACTACAATAAAGTTAAAACATTTCTTTTAATTAGACAAAAAGAGAGAAATGCTGTGGAATAATCCTTCTGTACACTGTGAATATGTATTGCTCTCCTTGTTTAATAAAAAGCTGACAGGCCAGTAGCCAGGCAGGAAGTTAGGTGGGAAAGCCATACTGTTAAGCTCAATCCACGAGTCTGTTTAATGGGTAACTGGGATTTATTAAAATATACATTGTGGAAATACACTTATGGATACAGAACTGAGTAAACAGCTGAAGTTGTCCTCTGCTCTGTCCAATAGTGAAAGCATCTGGCTGTCCAGTGTCCAGTCACACCAGGAAGACACACATTACCCCTCCCTCTTTCCTTTTAAGAGGTCACACACCCAGGCAGGAGGTCACATATGCAGGCAAGAGCACCGCCTCTATCGGGCTAGGTAGCCCAAGGACATTGGCTGAGCAGTTACCCACTACACCAAACTGAGAATGATGGGAAGGAGGAGGGAAGAGTTAGGGGAGTCACTAGGAGCCTCAGAGGGAGCAGGACATGCTAGAGGACAGGTAAAGCCATGAGCCATGTAGCAGAATGTAGATTAATAGAAATGGGTTAATTTAAGTTGTA